CTTTAGACGTTTTACATAACCATCCATGCTTTTACTTTACATCCGATAAAAGTGGTTTGGAAACCGTTATGAGATGGTTAGAGGACATACATGACTATGAGTTTAGATATGACAAGATAGAATATGAGAGAGGTCCTATAAACCGGAGAAAGTGTCATAACAAAGAAATTTTATTAGTAAGTAAATGTGGTTTGAAATAGGACTACTTGTTTTAGGTTTTTTCCATTGTGTCATTTACTTATTTGACGTGGCAGAAAGGTACAGAGAATATGAAGATGAACCAATACCAGCAAATGTTCAGCATATGTACTCGTAAGAGATATTTTTATCTAATATTAAATGGACGCACAGAACTTAGCGAATGCACAGCAACCTGGACAACCAAACCCAGAGAATATTCCAAATGAAGTTAGAATACAAACTGCAATGGCAAACTATGGTCAAGTGCCAACAGATGTACAAATGCAAACTGCCATGTCAAATGACGCTGCGTTAGGTTTGCCACCATGGTATGCAAATATGAGATGGAAAGAGTTTTATACAAACCCTGAAGTGGGATATAAACAACTTTATGCAGATGACGCGAACACAGGAGTTGACCCAGAGTATGTTTTCTACCAGAGGAGAAATAGAATGTATGAGCTCCAGTTAAAAAATGCTATGGAACTCAGAAGGAAACGTAAGAGACTAGGTGGACATTAGATTTTTACATATAGTAAAATGGGTTTCTTTGGAAGAATAGGAAACTTCTTTCGAAATGTTGGAAGAGGTATATGGAATGGAATAAAAACCGTAGGAAGAGGAATTTGGAACGGAGTCAAAAATATTGGCAAAAGAGTAGGTCAGTTCGTTGGTATTATACCTAAAGACCCTGAACCAGAAGAACAAGCTCCTGTTATACAACAGCCTGAACCTGCACCACAGTCAAGTTGGCAACCAAATCCAACACCTCAACCGTATTAAAATTATATTTTTACCGTTCGATAGTAGTTGTATATGAAACTAAGTTCTAAGTAAAACACATGGTATAATGGAATTATTCTTTTTCTTCCATCTGTAGTAAACCATACTTGAAAGTCTGAAATACTTCCACTCGGTGGTTCATATAGCTTTGTAGGTTTTTCGTAAAAGTCATTTGCCAAGCATAAAAAAGAGTTTTGTGCACCAGAAAATGAAGCATGAACGATAATAGCATCTGAGTCGAAAACATCTTTAAATAAATATGGTTCATCTCTTGCATATCGACTGTAAATATTTGCTAAAGGAAGTTCGACTTTCTGATTTAACATTCTTTGCAAATAATACCATGACATTGCAGTGAATTCTGTATATATTTGTTCGTCTTTATTTGGATTGTCTTCGTAGATTTGAAATGACACTTGTGAATTTTGTTTGTCATATACAATTCTCACATAAAGTGTGCTATTGGTATTTGCATATTCATCAGCATATTTTGCATAACATGAGTTTATTTTATCTTCTATATTTTTTAACGCAGTCTGTAGAGAAGATGAAAGGTCAACTTGTATTAGCTCAATTTCTTCCCACATTTTTCGTTTCCCTTCAGATATATAATCTATATGAAACCTTACAATAAATGGAAAACTTTTATCTTCTACAGACACAAATTTTATTCTACGAAAGCCAACAGCTTTTGTGACGGATGGGTCTCTTAACCATCTTAATGGGTAGTCAAAACGATAGCCTTCATGCTTTACGGTATCTGTCTCAAACTTTTGACCGACATTCGTAAAAAGTTCATCTAATGGTTTAGTTGTAGCAACTCTTGAATTTTCTTTTTCTATTGGAAGCATATTTTATCTAGAATAAAAATGTCAAATGAAACAGCGTCTATGAGAGAAATACAACACAACCGACAACTCATTTTGCAAGCTCTAAATAAGAACACAACAAACTTTTCAAACTATTCTAAGATATCTGAGTCATTGAAAGAAGGAAACTTAAAACTGACATTAAACCCAATGACAGATGAGTTTCTATTTCAAGACAACAAGAACCATACTGTTTGTATAAATCCAACAAAAAGAACTTTAAACGAGAAACCTATAGATGAACTTCTTTTGAAAGCAGATATTGACAACAAAGCTGACAAAGAGTATGTCATTGAAAAAGTTCAAGAAGAACATGACAGAGCAGATGCAACATATGCAACAAAAGAACATACTCATCCTGAACTAGCAGACAAAACATATGTTGACAATAAAATGTCAAGTGAAGTGACAAGAGCTGAAAACGAATATTCTAAAAAGACTCATACACATACCATTGCAAATATTACAAACTTACAAGAAACCTTAAACAGGAAAAGTGACGTTGGACATACACATACCATTGCAAATATTACAAACTTACAAGAAACCTTAAACAGGAAAAGTGACGTTGGACATACACATACCATTGCAAATATAACAGACTTAAACGTTAGCCTTGAAAAGAAGGCAGATAAGAACCATACACACGATTTCTTCGCAACTGTTGGTATAGAAAATATTGCAGGAACGGTTGAAGAACCTGATGGAACTGGTGGGGATGTATTAAATTGGAAACCTCCTAACTTTCCACAAGGTTTAACATCGGAGGATGACATAACGACGATGAAATACATTAGATGTAGAAATGTCTATGTCATGGAGGATGAAAACAATGTTAAATTCACTGCTCAAGATTTATATGATAAAAAAGCTGACAAAACATATGTTAACGATGAGTTAGATAAAAAAGCTGACAAAACAGAGCTTCAAACGTTAAAGACAGAAATACTTCAAACAGTATATCCTATAGGTTCTATTTATGTTTCAATGAACTCTACCAAACCAGAAGTAGTACTTGGTTTTGGAACTTGGACTCAAATAGTCGACAGGTTTTTGTATTGTGCAAACTCTTCAAAGGAAACAGGTGGAAGTAAAACGATTTCAGGTGAAAACTTACCTGCACACAGTCACTACATAGATTTAAGTACATCTGAAGCAGGTTGGCATAAGCATAGATTTTGGGATTGGTCAGCAATGAAAAAAGGTAAAGGATATGATGTTAAAGACGACGTTCAGTTTGCTATAAATTGTTTCTGGGGTAGCACACAGGGAGAAGGAAACCATACACATCGCGTTTCAGGGTATACGCAAACAACGGGACAAAGTAAAGACTACATGCCACCTTACATGACAGTTTACGCATGGTATAGAAATGCTTAGTCGTCATTTTCAACTTCTTTAGCATATTCGTCAGGAGTTGTCTTATATTTGTTAGGAACTGTCTTTGAAAGTATACCACCTTGAACCTTAACAAGTTTGAAACGAGGTCTGACAATAGTAGTTTTATCTTCTGCTTGCAGTCTGTACATTTTGCCATGTTTGCCTAAAACTTCATAATATTCTCTTGTATACTTTCTTCTATTTTTACGAACACGAATATGAGTACCTGTCGAGTTCCCATTGTTGTCATAGTCAATAGTATTTTCATATGGGTCGCGTTTAGGTATTTCTATTTTTACTTTGTCACCTTTCTGAAGTTTGAAGCCTGGCATTCTTTCTTGTTTGTCTCTTTTGACTAAACTATTAAATATATAGTCTTTCTCTAAGTCGGGGTTGTTTTTCATTTCTTCGGGGGAGTGGTTTCCCAAACCTTTTTGTTTACGGCTATTGTAAATATTTAAAACTTGTCTCATCTTTGCCATGGAGAAGTGCCTATATTTGTCGTCATATGACATTTCATCTACCTCACCACCTTGTGGTTGGTTTAAGTCTCTTAAGATTTTTATACAACTGTCAATGACACCAAGAGCAGAATGGTTTTGGTCGACAATGAAATATTGGTTTACATTTTTTGAACGCAGATAGTTTTTTACATCATCTGATTTGAAAGAACTTTCACAGTCAGATGTCAGTTTTGTTGGATGGTATTTGTCAACGAATATTGTCAAAGCAGTTTTCACATCTAAAATATTTTTGGACCATAATGGTATGGCTTCACAGTATCTTGTGTTTTGACCGACAAATATTAGCCAGTATGGTGGTCCATCTGTTCTAACTCTCGGAATGTTTTCCAAGATATCCATAAACCAAGCATTTGGTGTTGAACTAAAGATTTTTACCATGAGTGCTTTCTTTGTCGCTTTAGAAACATAGGGGTCCTTGTTTGGATTCGTCATTTTTTAACCCATAAGAAATGGGTTTATTTGGCGCATTAGCAGGAGTTGCATCCAGATTTTTGCCCGCAGTGGGAACAATAGCTAGAGGTGCATTTGGAATTGGAAGGAAGATTTTGAGTACATTAGGTATACTGAAAGAGAAAGCACAACCTATTATACAAACTGTACAGAAAGGTTGGGATGTAGCACGAGATGCAGCAAATCTTATTCCAAATCCTGAAACAAGAGGAAAAGTTCAAGGATGGATGGACAATGTAGGAAGACAAGCAGGAAACTATTATAACAAAGCAAATGACTACTATAACCAAGCAGGACACTATATGGACCAAGGTGAAAGATTCTTTAACAGAGGATATAACCATGCACAACAATGGGTAAACAATAACCAACCTCAACCGCCTCAAACGTGGGGAATGTAAAGTTTTTTACTGAGATGAAATGAACAATACAGCATTGAGACAAATGGGTTCAAGATGGATTTGTCGGCTTCCAGCAGTTACACAACCACGTGTTTGTCAAGTTCTTCCTATACCTCAGGAAGTTTTAGACCGACTTAAAAAACAACAACAACCAGTTGAAAACAAACCAAACTAAAATTTTTTACTGAGATGAAATGACCGAAGAAGTTGAAACGGTAGATTTGACACCACAAACAAAAAGTTCAGAACCATTGTCAAAACCTGTCAAAGAACTTACCGATGAAGAGAAAAATTCAATAATAGAAAGTGCCAGGTCTGGAAATACAAACCCTAACTATAAAGTCACTTTTCATAGAAATGGAACGGCTAGTATCTCAAAAAAGAAACAGACTCTCACAAATAAAATATTGAAGTCTGAAGGAGCTTTCGAGACAACAGATGGAAAAGTTTACTTCACTGACCAACAGTTCATTATAGAACATCTCATTGACTTAGAGTCGAAATATTCTAAACTTTACAACAAACACAAAAAGTTGAAAGGAAAACAAAAACAAATGGCATATGATATTTATGAAGATGTTGACGACACAACCATACCTGCAAGTGAGGTAAAGTCAGATGAACCGAAAAGTGACGAAAAACCGATAGAAGAAGAAAAACCAAAAACTGAAGATAAACCAAAACCAAAGTTTAGTTTCCAAACTAAACCAAGTCAACCTTCATTAGCTGGTATGGGTTGGCGTCAAAGACTTATGGCAGCAGGCGGTTATGTAAAGTAAAGAAAAAAAAACATATTTTTTTATTTTTATAAAAATGCCCCCATATAGAATGGATAGAAAATCTGCTAGAATAAAAGCAGAGTTAGAAAGATATGGTTGGAGAGTTTCGAAGAAGTTTAAATATAGGAAGGGAAGACCCATAAAAGTCTATGACAAACTGGCTGGTCTGACCTACGAAATGGATTTGGAAACAGCACGTGCCAATTATCCAAACAGACTAGAGAGGTTAGAAGAAGAACGTCTTATGGACATGCCTTTCGATGTTAGTGAACCTCAAGTTGAAGGACACGACGGCTTTGCCAGATTCTACTGGAAACATGACGAACAATTGCATCCTTTGAGAAGGAAAAAAGGAAAAGGTGAAGACGCACATGCTCCCATGGAAAGAACAAGATATGCATATGAAAAGTATCGTGAAGTTAGAAGTCAAATTACATCTGGTCGAACCTTTACAGTAAACTTTGACGAAGGAAAGAACAAAGAAGGCTTCATGGGAGTACTTGCTGCCATACAAGACGGAAATAAGAAAGGATACAATCTCAGATTGACCATAACAGATTTGGACGGTCATATATACTATGCGCATGGCAATGTCACAACAGCTGCAATGCTTCTTGACGCTTTCAAGACTACAAAGAGAGAACAAATGGTTGACTCCGACTCAGACATTTTGAATGCAATTGAAGGAATTGCAAGTGTAAAATTTGAATGGTACCAACCGAACCCTCAAGCAGTCAGACAACATGCTGGATACTTCCCGTTCATAAATAAGTCTGACATTGACTTGACAAGGTATGGAATTTACAATTCCATTGAAACAATTGTCAACGAACCTTGCATTCTTACATGTCTCAGGAACTCTGGTCTTGTTACAGATGAGAAGATGAAGTATCTTGAGTCATGTGTGAAGACAAGGTACATTCTCAGAGGTCAATTGGCAAAAATTGCACCGTTGGCAAATGTCAATATCCGAGTCAACATACCGACTGAGAAAGGTTCTTCACATGACGACTATGTTGTTGACAAAGACTTACCATGGTTGAAGATTGTAATTGTCCACAACCACTTCATGTTGAACGAAAGTCTTATGTTCGGAAAAGGCAAGTGCAACATTGTCAGAGCTGTTAACATTCTTTTCGAGAAAGGTTTGTTGGAACCGATTCCAGATGACAAGCTGACAGAAAGTTTTGTACCAAAAGACGAAACAAACTTTTCACTGTTAGCAAGACCAAAAGTTGTTCCAGACAAAGTTCTAGTACAAAAGAAGTACACAATTCCAAAAGGAGTTGGATTGTTCGGATACCAACCTGAACCAGAAGAACTTCCAATGAGGTTGCAAGAACTTCAAGATGCTATAAACAAACTCCCATTGAGACATCCAATCGACGTCAAATTGTATTGGAGAGCATCAGAGTTAGGTCAGAAGGTTTTATATGAAACAGGTTGCTTCGACGATGTTTATGAGATAACAGGAGAAGTTTCTCAGAAGATAAGAGACTCGCTTGAATTTCCAAAAACTGGTCCGATTGGATGCGATAAGTTCGACTCAGATGAAAAAATATACTATGTCGACCTTAACGCCGCATACATGAGGTTCGTCCAATATATCCCGACTGGAATTCCAAACGAAGATGGTGAGTTCCCAGGAAGGAACTATACAGTTGGAAAAGTCATACAACAACTGTATGATATTAGGAAAGCTTCAAACCCCAAACTTGCAATGACACTCAAATTGCTTATGAATTCGACATGGGGATATTCCATTAAGAAACCTCAAGAGATGAAGAGTAAACATTATGAGAAGGTCGACAACTTTGTTGAAAGGTTTTCTCCTTTTGTTTTGAAGTACGAATTCACTCAAGGTCAAAGTGGCTTAGTAACCACATTAAAACCTATTGTCGAACATTGGTCTTACCCTCAGTTCGCAAAGGCAGTCCTTGACAACTACAACAAATTCTTCTCGGAAGTCAAATCCAAAGTGAAGGTTTACTATGAGAACATTGACGCACTCATGACGAACGAAGAAGGGTACAACAAACTCATTGAAATGGGCATGGTCGGTGAAAAGATGGGTCAATTCAAATTGGACAAAATTTTCACCGAAGTTCATGTCCTCTCCAAGCGTAAGTATTGGGGCATACTTGAAGACGGCACAGAAATAAAACATTGCATGAAATAAAAATTTATTTTTTAAAAAGTGACATTTTTTTATTTTATTTGAAATGTACGCTGAGTTTGTTGGAGAAGACCGTTGGGAAACTTGTTTGTTAGATGAGAAATATGAAATGGCATACTATTTTAAAACAATATATTTTTACATATATTAAATGCTTCAGGTTGAAAAACAAAGAACAAAAGTAGCAGATACAAAACCGTTAGACTATATCTTTACAAATGCTGGTAGGACTATTTCAGATGAAGAAATTTCATCCCGAATATACAGGTTTGACTATCCAATTCGTTGGCTTCAAAGTCCTTCAGATGCAAAATTCAATTTCGATTTTCAGCGCACCTCTTCCAGACAACCAGAAGCCGAGGGACTTGTTGGCTTTGTCCTTGCGCAAGTACTGCTTAACAACTTCATTTATCTCTATAAGGTAAATTGCCTCATCTAATGGCTCGATGTTGTCCATTGCACTGCTTCAGAACAATACTTGTACTTTTTCAGAACAATACTTGTACTGTTTCAGAACAATACTTGTACTTTTTCAGAACAATACTTGCACTGCTTCAGAACAATACTTGTACTTTTTCAGAACAAGACTTGTACTTTTTCAGAACAATACTTGTTCTTTTTCAGAACAAATTTCCCGTAAAAGCTCTCAATTTGTGAGAAAAATTTTCTGTTTCAGAACAATACTTGTACTTTTTCAGAACAATACTTGTACTGTTTCAGAACAATACTTGTACTTTTTCAGAACAATACTTGTACTGTTTCAGAACAATACTTGTACTTTTTCAGAACAATACTTGCACTGCTTCAGAACAATATTTGTACTTTTTCAGAACAATACTTGTACTGCTTCAGAACAATACTTGTACTTTTTCAGAACAATACTTGCACTGCTTCAGAACAATATTTGTACTTTTTCAGAACAATATTTGTACTGTTTCAAGACAATGTCCGACGTACCACCAACCGAGCCCATTCCCAAACCAGTTCACGAACAAATCTAATGGCGAAACATTCACAAAAGGCACTTACAACGGTATTGAAGTCTTACGTAGAGACAAGGATGGTTATATAAATGCAACAAAGATGTGTCAGCAGTTTAGGAAAGACTTTAGAAGGTTGTTGGAAAATAAGTCCTGGGAAGAGTATTATAAGGCATTTTGTGAAGAATATACCAACCCGCGGAAAACAGCGGGTTGCTTTTTATACAAAATTCATGCAGGAATTCCTGATGAAATCAAACAGGTTAGAGGAACGTATGTAGACCCAAGACTTGTAAACTATATAGCAATGTGGGCTTCTCCAAAATATTGTATAGCAGTTGGAAAAATTCTGGACTCCATAGACAAGAAAGTTCATGAGAAATTAGATGAAGAAGAACTTGAAGATACAGTAGAGAATGCAAAACCTTTGTTCGAAGAAGAAGTTAGAAAAATGCATGAAAAACAAATAGAACATGAACGTGAGATATGTTCTGGTTATAGAGACTCGCCATACGAACTAGACCAATGGGAACAAGAAGATTTAAAGAGAGAATTTAGAGAATATGAACTCGCTAAGATAGCATTTGAAGCTGCAGAAAAGAAGTTAAAAGTTTGGGGTCGTTTTGTACAAAAATATTGTGAGTAAATGAACCATTTTTTTCGACAAAAATATATTTTAGGGTAGAAGGTTAGATCTAACCTGTCTTCTACCCTCTTTTCTACCCTCTTGAATTTTCATGACTTCTTCGTAAATGTTTTGTCAAGACTTCTTCATAAATGTTTTGTCAAGACTTCTTCATCGTAATGAGTGTAAAGGACCCAAAAATATATTTTAGGGTAGAAGGTTAGATCTAACCTGTCTTCTACCCTCTTTTCTACCCTCTTGAATTTTCATGATTTCATCGTAAATGTTTTGTCATGAATTTCATCGTAAATGTTTTGTCATGATTTCATCGTAAATGTTTTGTCAAGACTTCTTCGTACATGTTTTCTAACCTCATGAGTTTTCCCGAAATAAAAAATAAAGTTGGTTTTTTTAAAAAAATATTTTTTTATTTTTATTGTAAGAACATGTTAGCAACAACAGCACCAAACTCGTTAGTCATGAACCCAACTTCAATGTTAGTAGAGATGAAAAGCTTCATTCCTTCTTCATATACTTTCGAAACAAAAATCCAGAAGATAAAGCAAGAACTTTTAACAAGTACTTTGGACTGTTGTGCGAAAGATGAAACAAATGAACAGTATCTTTATGAAATGCAGGATATTATTGACCATTTACCCAAATTGCCTGAAATCCAACAACAAAAGCTTACTATTCCAGAATTCGATGAAATAGAAGTCAAAGCAACTGACTCAGTAGAAATAAAGAAGTTCATACGAAAGGTTAACTATGAATTCCTTGGATTTCATTGCAACCACAAAGTCATGGACAAAGATTGCGACATGGTATATAAGAACATCTCTGACATATACAAATCTGGGGAGTTTAAGACCTACGACAACTTTGTTTCGTTAGTTGCAAAATGTGTATGGCAGATAAGAGATAAAGATAGAAGAGGTAAGATATGAATGAACAGATAAAACCCGCAACTTTTGAGTTAAAGAGAGCAATTGACGCCTTAGTCATACTAGCAGGTAAGGTTCAGAATATAACGCAAAAATGAACCCACAATGTTCTAAATGTAAAGCAGCAATGAGGAAATATAACTACTCCGTCAAAGAGATAGAACGTATGCGAAACGACTATGCTGACTTAAAGAGGGAGATGTCAAACATTGAGTTTGAAACAGTTGGAAAGATAGACAATGACACCAAAGTGGTTAGAATAGGTGATTTAAACGTAAGATACTCAAAGAAATACAACAAATATTCTTTGTCAGACATTTTATCTCCATTTGGAAAAAAAACAAACCACTGGGTTAAAATTGCTTCTACTCAGAAAAATTTTGACAAGAAATCCTGAGCTTATGATATCGGTAAAATTCTATGGAACTGCAGCATATCTCATCGACAAAAGTCTTATACCAATAGTTTTGTTATGGTTAGACCCAGTTGTTGGATATAACTTCATAACATATGGTTCATTCGATACGGAACGTTGCAGTGAAGGCTTACTTTACATCGTTCAGAAACCGAAGGACTTCAATACAAAGAGATATAAGATAGGAAGGACATATAATATAACTCTAAGATATGACAGTACAGTCAATATAGTCAAGGTTGTGTTAGTTAATGATATGAGAGCTGCAGAAACAGAACTACTTGAAAAGTTTGAGAAAATGTATGGTGCTCCCATAAAAGGTAAAGAAACGTTTGAAGTAGATGAGATAGATAAAGCTATAAAATTATTTGACGAAGTTGCTGAAAAATACATGTAAAAATAACGTTTACCATGTAAAACGCTTATAAAATAACTGGGGTAGAAAAGAGGGTAGAAGACAGGTTAGATCTAACCTTCTACCCTAAAATATATTTTTATTGAATTCAGCACAAAAATCTGAGTAAAATGGCATAAGATTGCTACCCTCGAAAAACCGAGGATAGAGATTCCGTACGAAAAACAGTGAAATTTCTCTAGACCGACTTCCTTCGGGGTCGCCAAAACTCTATGAAATCATGAATTTCCTTAAGACAGAAAAAATAAAGTTAGTTTTATTTTTATTTATTTTTTTATTTTGTATGTAAGGACAGATATGACAACAACAGAGAACACAACAACAGTTATAGTCCATGAAGCTATAAATGAAGAATATGAGTGGGTTCAGTTTAACAAACAGTTACGTCTCATTCGTTCGGTCCAAAGACGATATGTACCAAATGCAAAGTATTTTGACAGCATGTTTTGCTCCAGATACTATGAAACCACAAGATTGGTTTGAATTAAATAGCACTCATGAACTCCTCAGTGAGTTTGAACATGTAGAACTTAAAAAGATGTACCAAGACAGACAAAACTTACCATCACATCTAAAAGGTATATATGTTCATAAGTTCCTAGTTAGTTCAATAGCAATGTGGGCTTCACCTCGTTATGCAATCTACATACTTATGCTACTTGACGAACTTTGTACAAAGCAGAGAGAGATATGATGAAAGAAGACAAAAGCATTTCAGAAAAGAATACCACGTTCGGTACCAAAAGGAAAGGAAAA